AGTAGAACAGTTTCAATAATTAATACATTGCATATTGTTGTTTTCTTAGTGCATAGTACAAGATGCAGACATGATATCCTGTCCACAAACACTATTAGAACAAATCTTTCTATTCATTGAATTAAGAGAAAGTAGCTGTATATCTATCCTAACTAGAAAATTGTTTAGCCAGTAATGTTTGCTGTGATTGTTGATAAGCACCTTTTAAAATATTTGTATATGAAGTCCTTAGAATTAATTGACGAAGGTAATTTCTGCATTTTAGTTTTCATAAGCTTTTCAAGATTGATTTTGGCATATTGTTTTTCAGGATAGGTGGCTAAATAGCTAACAGTTGTATTTATGTTTACCTTGCGTTAAACCTACGTGGTGATCAAAGAAGTTTTGCATGTGGGGAGGTGAAAACCAGAGTGAAACAAGAATGAAATGGTCAGGTGTGAAGCACACACCTTTAATCCCCTCTGCTCAGGAGATGGAGGCAAGAGGAGTCCCAGGCCAGCCTGGGAAAGGTGAAAAAATAAAATGCCCAAAGGACTGGGGGTGTAGCTCCATAGAGCACCCCTGGGTGTAGTTCCCCAGTACTGGGAGCGGGGAAGAATGAAACGTTCTCACACCTGTCTGTTAAATTACTTTTAAACAAATGCCTTTGCATGTTTTAATGCTGAGCAAAATTCTCTTTCACTGCAATTTGTTTGTTTGTTTCCATGTCCTAGGATTGATGACATCAAAGAAGGATAGTATTTCTGAATCAGCACTTTCATTGCCTCCTAGTGAAGAATTGAAAACGGTAGCAGAGAAAGATGGTAATATAATTTATAACTTTTTTTTTTCAAAATTTGACTTCCTGGTGGAACTTGAATATAGTGGGGAAACAGCTTGTATGGCCATTAAGTTTTAAAATTGGCAAAGGCAAAATCATAGTAAAAAATTACCCTTGAAAAATCTCCTAAGAAAGTCATAATAAAGTATATAATCTTTTAAAAATCCTATACTCCATTATGTACAGGTAGAGGACTGTAGTACTGGACTAGATTTATTAGAAGGGAAAAAAGGAAATTTCATAGTACAGCTGGCCTGATAAAAATGGTGAAGCTGCGTTAGCATCAGATTATTAGGTGGTTTACCATGAGTATTCCTACTTGCCTTTAGGCCTCACTCTAAACGTTTGAATGTGAAACTTTTATCATCTTAAAACATATTAATGATTTTTTTTTTCTATAAGATGAGAGTCTGCTAAGGTAAGGAGTGGTAGCTCATCAGTTGCCATTAAGTGACATAGTGATGGCCTCTATATAAGATTGCGGTCTTTTTTTTTTTTTTTAAATGCATTTAGGGCCAGGGAGATAGCTCAGTAGAGTAAGTGCTTGCCTGGCAAGCTTAAGGGCCTGAGTTCAATCCCTGGTACTGAAAAAAAAAA